TTATCTCTATAAGTTGCTCCTGGCTGGCCCGAGTTTTGTTTCTATAAGTTGCTCCTGGCTGGCCGAGTTTTATCTCTATAAATTGCTCCTGGCTGGCCCGAGTTTTATCTCTATAAATTGCTCCTGGCTGGCCCGAGTTTTGTTTCTATACCTGCTGTTTTTCCAGATTAAAATATTCATTTTATACAATATGAAGTTTACATACTGTTTTTATATGGAACAAATATATTAAACATTCCCACGTTTATGTCTAATTGTTACATATTGTAAGATATCTGTGAAACAATTAAAAAAGTTTAAAAAGCTAATCTATTTTTTATGATGCTTTAATTACGAATGATTGTACAAATCTATATGAATACCCCTCGATATCAGATATATTTCTTTATCAGTTGAATGGGTGTTACATTAATAGCTACTATTGGTCACTTACGATCAGGTGGTACTTGTACAAAAACGTAGCTACTCATTAGAATTTAGGTAGAAATGTGTAGCGTAGGCTGTCTGACATCAACGAGCTAATGAAAGTCAATTATTATCTATTTTCATCATCATAAAAAATCAAACAGAACACGCTCCGTCATGATCTAGAAACATCCGATCGTATCAACAGGAAATCAACTTACAGGGATTTCCGGAGTTATTTTAGGCGCGAATTTTAGTAAGATGCGTTTTACTAGCCCTTGTTTCCCACACTTATGTTATAACGTGGGTACCCCCTTTTTTTTTTCGGTGAAAAGATTTTCTAATATTATACGTAATATTACAAGAACTTTAAATAACTTTCTTTGCCAAGTGAAGAAGGAAGGATTCGTCAAGCTCTCCACGTCATTTGTCATTTCCTATAGTCAGCATGGACAAGATCCATAGGCTCTAGCATTCAACGTGAAAGATAATGGACCTCCAGGAAAGGTTACTTCTCGAATGTCTTCGGATTATATATATATATATATATATATATATACTCCTATGTTCCTACGATTCGACACGCTTGAAATTGTAAGAGAAACTGACAACTGAATACCCGTTAGTGTCACTCACGTTATTTTATTCCCTAATAAAATCTGAGGAAGAAAAAGGTGGATGCTCCTTACGAACCAATCAGAGATTAGTTGTATTTGGCCCTTCCAAAAGATTGATACTTCTTCCCCAGATGCGGTAATTTCACAAGATAATAAAGACAAAAAATTGCCAACTACATAAAGCAAACCTTGTGCGATCCTCCCAAGGTCGTGAGACTCTAAGTGAGTGACGTAATTAAGGATTAACTCTGTAATCTAACATAGAACAATAACCCATCACTCTCTGCATTATTGTAGACTTCATAAGCGTAGCCCTCTAAACCTTGTTATTAACATACTACAGGCATTCAGCCTGAGGCGACGTTGTCACTTTTTTTTTCCCCCCAGGGTCCAGTATTCACACAGGAAGTACGCATATAAAGATATATTATCAGCCCCTTAATCAGAGGGAGCAGGAAAGTTAGTTTTACAAATGAACATGTGAAAGAAATAAAAAATAATAATAATACTCGATTTTTCAAGAGATGACAAATACATTTTGTTCTAAAATGTTCTCGCGAAGCGACACCAAAGTCCATCTGCGCATAGTTGCCCTTACTTTTGAACTAATAGAGTAGAGGGAAGGCAGCTGGTCATCAGCACCCACCGCCAACTCTTGGGATACTCTTGTTTGTCTGAATAGTCAGATTTGACCGCCGCTTTTATAGTGTACCACGGCCCTAAGATGAATATTGCGTATTTTGCGGCAAAAGAGGCGCAAACCTTAAATTCTCAAATTTCAAAGATCAAGCACACTAACGACTGGGTATCGCCCAGCCCTGAGAAAAAAGAAATTTTGACGGATTACAATTTTGTAAGAACACATGAATTCCTCTCCCCCCTCTAAGCTAATTGAGTTTAATCACAAGTTTATATTTTCTTTTTCGTCTCAGAAAAACACACACATACAAATAATACTAGCTGTTTATATATATTTCTGTTTGTTTTTTTAATGGTGTGCAGTATGACTGATTTATGAACGGATATGTAAGATGCCGCAAAAACGTGTATATTACACGACTGCGCAAGGCTTATAACGCATAACATGGCTCCTAATGAGATATACAAAAACATGATATCGTGTCTTCAATAAAAGCACTGTACACTTGTGAAGTAAACTACGGACGTGTAACGTTTACTTCTAGAGTACCAAGGTTGTATGAACCAAGAGGGCGTAAAAAAATGGTGTGGGGGGGGGAGATTAAGTGATTAAACGAGAGAAGAAAACTGTGGTTATAAAAAGATTTCTGGGTAGGACGTTCGTTCACAAATGATAATACAAAACTCATATAAGTATCCATCTTTCCTCCTTCGGTGAAAGTTTAAGATGGGCATAACCTTCAATGCTGTGACACCAGCGCGCGGTAGTAGCGAAGCTTGAACGTGCTGCTTTTGATTGTTTATTTCTTGAACTCCGCGCACAGTTACTCGAAGCTTACCTGCACTCTAGCCGTGTATAATTAGACTAGAAGGAAGACAGATAGTCACCGCCGCCAACTGTTGGTCTTATTCTTTTACCTACTGATAATGGGAAAGTCTTTTCTTATTAGAACGCCCCCACGGCTGAAAGGGCTAGAATGTTCGTTGACGAGATTCGAACCCGCGACATGCAGGTTACGAGTCGAGTACCCCAAGAACCAGGCCAGGATGGGCCATATTTTGGATTCAGAACTGCTTTAGTGAAAGATGCTATAAGATAAAATATAAAAGAAATAAAGACACAAGATAAATGAGATTAAAGCGCCTCACCCCCCCCCCCTTCCCAGGAGTAACATATCGCTGTTGTTACGTGGATTCTATTATAAAAGTACTTTTCATATGAAGTATAAACTGTCATAATGGAGATCCTTGTCCGAGTTCATTCTTGTTTATGTGAATAAAATACTTATATTACCTATTTTCAATGAAGAAAATTATTATGAAGAAACAGGCCACTCTGTTTTAACTATTATTATTTTCACTAGCCTTGTTGCCTTAGAATTAGAGGAAGTGAATAAACAGGCCACTCTGTTTTAACTGTTATTATTTTCACTAGCCTTGTTGCCTTAGAATTAGAGGAAATGAATAAACGGGCCACTCTGTTTTAACTGTTATTATTTTCACTAGCCTTGTTGCCTTAGAATTAGAGGAAATGAATAAACAGACCACTCTGTTTTAACTGTTATTATTTTCACTAGCCTTGTTGCCTTAGAATTAGAGGAAATGAATAAACAGACCACTCTGTTTTAACTGTTATTATTTTCACTAGCCTTGTTGCCTTAGAATTAGAGGAAGTGAATAAACAGACCACTCTGTTTTAACTGTTATTATTTTCAATAGCCTTGTTGCCTTAGAATTAAAGGAAATGAAGAAACAGACCACTCTGTTTTAACTGTTATTATTTTCACTAGCCTTGTTGCCTTAGAATTAGAGGAAATGAAGAAACAGGCCACTCTGTTTTAACTGTTATTATTTTCACTAGCCTTGTTGTCTTAGAATTAGAGGAAATGAATAAACAGGCCACTCTGTTTTAACTGTTATTATTTTCACTAGCCTTGTTGCCTTAGAATTAGAGGAAGTGAATAAACAGGCCACTCTGTTTTAACTATTATTATTTTCACTAGCCTTGTTGCCTTAGAATTAGAGGAAATGAAGAAACAGGCAACTCTGTTTTAACTATTATTATTTTCACCAGCCTTGTTGCCTTAGAATTAGAGGAAATGAAGAAACAGGCCACTCTGTTTTAACTGTTAATATTTTCACGAGCCTTGTTGCCTTAGAATTAGAGGAAATGAAGAAACAGACAAGTCCGTTTTAACTGTTAAGGATAAAAATAAAAACTAAACTGTATACACTTGAAACGTTTTCTTGCACTTTTCAAACGTAAAATCCGAAAAGGACCGGTTACGAATAAAGAGTTTAAAACACTTCCAATCAGAGAAAGATATTTACATACTCGTGTACCAATGTCCAAGGAAGTCTTTATTTACACTTTTGGTGCGAGTGTTATGCAAATATTCAATGTTACCTTTTCTATCGACGACTAAAAACGTTGCAAATGTAGAAGCGCCATCTGTCTTCTCTCCACTTCTGTGTACATCCCCTCGGTTTTCTTTCTGTTTCAATAATAAGACACTTATTAGGTTGTCGGCTTCTAAAACAGTAAGTTACGTATTAAATCGACTTAAACCTCTGAACGATCTAAGACGAAGAAGCTAGTAAATATTCTTATCAAAATTTGTACTACCGTTAGTTTGACCTTGACCTATGACCCCCGTTTAAATATAGGTATTAACGCTCTTTCTGAACCAAGCAGAAAATAAAGAGTTTATGAAGTATAACTCCCATCTTCACCTTGGTCTGAAACTAAGTTAAATTAAGCACAGGAATTAACCCTTAAATTGAACCAAACAGAAAAGAGAGAAACCTCTACCAAATATTACTCCTACTTTTACCCTTTATTTTTGAATTCTGGCCAAGACTATTAAAAATATAACCTCTTGTTATAACGTTTAGTTAAACATTCACATAAAGCATTAATATCCAACGAATATTTCTTAAAACTGAACAATAATAATGAGTCTTTGCGATTTAACGAATTAAACATCCAATCTAAACGATGCAAAATACCAGTAAAGTGTTTATAGTTCTTATACTGTTTATATAAATTAAACAATACACGGTACAGAAATGCATTTTAAATGTTAGCGTGCTTGAACTGTAAACCATAGGATTCGCGGTTCGTGTCCCTTTTCTGCATAAACGCGCTTCGTACTTTTGTGGCCGACGTTGCACTATAATAGTGCGATCGTTAGTCCCACTATTCGGTGAGACAAGAGCTGGCAGTGGGTGCTGTTGATCAACTGTCTTCCTTCCAGTTCATAAATTCAAAATTAAGAACGGTTCTGCGCAGATAGGTTGTGCAAAAATGATAAAACACGGTGTTCCGGCTCAGTTGAAATGCACGTACAAGTCCTACTAAAGTTAGGTTTGAATCTCCGCATCGTTTTTCTGCTTAAAAACAACAAGTATTATTATATCATTCATACTTGAAGAAGCGAAGAGCGGAATACACCGTAAACTGTAGCCACGAATGATGTACAGAAAAAGAACGTATAAAGGACGAGTGTTTTACAGCGCGATTAACATGATATTCCACAGAAACCAATGACGTATAACTACCATAAGTGTATATGTGCTAGTGTGCAAAATTATTGGTATTTTCTGAGAAATTAAACCCTTAAAAAAAAAAAGAGGCATTCAAATGGGAACCGGCTGTAATGAGTCGTACAAAATAATTGTTGTTTTTTCTTCTTTCTGAACTAGACGCTTCATGTTGAAGTTGTTGCTTTATAAGGAATGAGCGATGAGATGAAACCGAGAATCAAATTTCGGACACAAAAACCGCCTCTGGCGGACGGCAGCGCTAACTAACAATGATACGATTCTCCAGATCAGATTAATTCATTTGTGTTGTATTTCTGAGAATGACGTCACCGAACACATTCTAAAAAAAAGGCAACAGGAACTAGTATATTTTGTTTGTTTCAGAACTTCGCACACGGATTATCTGCGCACAACTTCTCCCAATTCTCAGCTAACATATAAAAGGAAGGCTTGGTTTGGTTTGAATTTCGTGCAAAGTTACACGAGGGCTATCTGCACTAGCCGTCCCTAAATTAGCAGTTGAAAACTAGAGAGAGAGAAGGCAGCTAGTCATCACCATCCACCGCCAACTCTTGGGCTACTCTTTTTCCAACGAATAGTGGGATTTACCGTCACATTATAACGCCCCCATGGCTGAAAAAGCGAGCATGTTTGGTGGGACGGGGATTCGAACCCGCGACCCTCAGATTGCGAGCATGGAGCGTCACAACCGTGCTATAATTATCTCTTCCTCCTCCCTATTTATGATTCGCTGAATGTAATCTCTATACAAGGCCTGTAGTTTCAGACTTTGTATTTTGTCAATTCTTAAGTAGCTAATTCATGTTAATTTTGTTAATTTGTTAATTTACATGGCCTTGTGGTTTGTGTGCCAGGCTTAGTTCCGACACGTCCAAAGGTCGAGTGACGATATGAACGCGATATGATATGACAGTGACAACAATACAGATATTCGGTTAAGAGTAGCCAAGTAGACGGCGCGTGTTGCGGACTGGTTGATATAATTATAAGACGTTTATGCCCGAATCTCTGATGTGTCGTTCAAGTTGAAAATACCAAGACAAAATATCATTATTCATCGTAAAACTAACAGCAACTATCATAAAGTTATGTTTTGTTTTTACCTTGGAAATGAATAACTATTATGATATTACTCAGTTTTTGTCCGTCCTGAAAATGTGCTCGCACATTACTATCTAAATGCACACCTGCGCGCACTTCATTTCAATGGATGTAAACAAAAGGCGGATTGGAAATATATTTTAGTAAACATTTTGTACAACACCTTCTAACATTAGGTCGTAGAATAACATTTTTATTTATTGATAATAGTAAGTATGGTAAAGTTTAGTCCTAACTAAACTAAAGCAAAAAAAACGCACACAAGTTACAGTGTTAACTTATCTCTTTGTCGAATATAGGCCGTACTCAATAAGGCCTACGACAAATGAAATTGTAGATTTCTGTGATTAGAATTATTTGGTACTATTTTAGAAATCACGTATTTACCGTTTGCAATAAAGATACTAATTTGACCGCAAATTTTTTTTGCAGGTCCCTGCTAGTATTTGTGTATTGTTCAAATTAAATATATTTTTAACATGTCATACAGGGTAAAGTAGGCCTAATAAAAATAGTAGATAAAACGCAGTTACACAAATTAGATAGATAAGCAAGTATTTGCACGTTCTAGGTATATCGCGAATTCATCACTGTGGGGCATGTTTGTTCCATTTACCAGCTTAAGTTTTTTATATATCTACCCCCTTTGATTTAGTTATTAAGGTCGAAAATAACCCCATTCTCTCGATCGTTCTCGAAATAGATTAAATTTATAACTACGTACAAGATCACTTCGCCGCAAGGTGTTGCTGTCTGAACTTTTATTTCGTGCAAGTTTTTTTTGCTTCAGGGCTTGATGCCAAATTATTCCACTACCCAAGAAGACTAACCGTTACTAATATACAGCCTTTTAAGTGATTTGTTTCTTTGTTGTTGTTGTTACTTTGTGAAGAGCAGTATTTAAAAAATAAGTCTTTGCTCACTGAGTCGTGACCTTTCGTCTGTGTGGACTTAACAAACTGCAGATCTCAAAGGTAAATAAATTGAGTTTTTTTCTCCTTAAACTCTGCTAAATAAACGATATCAAAAAATGCACACACACACACACACAGAAAAAGTACGAACACTTTATCGTGCTAACACAAGTCTATATTCAAAGTCATAAACATTATCCACGCAAAATGTTTGTTTCGTCGCTAGAATGTCTAGGAGACCGTGATTTTAAGACATTTTTATCAACGTTGTCACATGTTATTTGCTCTTAAAGAATAAGAACAGTATGAATACGTAAAATTTTAAACCGTTTTAGATTCTGTTAAAGAAATACCCATAAGAAGTTTGTATGATATTGGCCCCCTGCCATATAACAGAGGTTTCTATTTTGTTGCCCTAAAACAAAAACGTGTGTTTTCACTCCATGGTGCTACAAACACATTGGAAGAAATATATTACGTCTTCCTTGTAGCTGTTTGAAATTTTTACCCTAGGCCTAAAACATATTTTCATCGTTCTTTGAACACGGCTTTGCTTTGGTTAATATTTTCAATGGAGTCATTGTTTCTAAATGTTTTTTTTTATTATTTGTTTGTTTACTGTTAAGCACAAAGTTGCAAAATGAGCTATTCTTGCTGGGCCCCCTGCCAGGTTCGAATCCCCAGTTTTAGTGTTACATGCCCTCGATCTTACCGCTGAGCACAGAGGGTTAGGAAAACTCAGGACGAAACAGCGAAGGGGGAAATAAAAACAAATGTTGGAGTAATTTAATGTGTCAAACTATATGACGAAGATTCTGGAGTAATTTAATGTGTCAAACTATATGACGAAGATTCTGGAGTAATTTAATGTGTCAAACCATATGACGAAGATTCTGGTGTAATTTAATGTGTCAAACCATATGACGAAGATTCTGGTGTAATTTAATGTGTCAAACCATATGACGA